ATTTTAAAAACTTTTTAAAATATAAAATTTATGTTTATTTGCAACAGTTACGCTAACAACAATAAAAAAGACATTTATGACAGTAAAACAGCGACATCTGCTGACCGTGCTGCGTTGTCACGGGAACATCCCAGCTGAAGATATTGAGGAAATTACATCGCTGCCTTTGCCAAGTGCATTCCAAACGACTACATAATGGCACGCACGTGCCCTGCTCACTCCAAAGTCCCCACTCCAAGGGGATAGGGATGATCACTTCCATTTGGAAATTGCCCATGAACCGTTCGGTACACGATACGCGTACCGTTACACTCCTACCTCAAATGTAATTTTGACTCATCCCTCAGTTATTAAAAGCATTTAACAGGAAAAAACATTTACAGTCAAATCCTTTAAACAAGAATACTACTTTATTCCATTTACCCAAAGGTAAGGAATGACAGTCACATTTTGACCTTTCATGTGTGCAGGAAATGTATAGGGAATATACACTGCATAACATTTACATAATAGACAGCTTATAGACATATTAAGAATATCTGTGAAGTACAGTCTTGAAAAAAGGTTTAAAAAGGGGGATTCATGGAACATGTAGAGTAAGAATAATTGTACATGCTGGGCCAGACTCCAGAGATGAGGAACATATTAGTCACTAGAAAAATAATGGCTGACTGTTTCCGAGCTGATCAGCAGCATCTGTCTGAGATGAAGTGGTGGTGACCATGTTTATCTTCAGCTGTTGTAAAATTATTAACAAAAATTATTTCTAACACACATTTCTATGAAATGCCTTACCTTAAAAATACATCTTTCAAAGTCATATTGAGCCCATCTAGGATTTTATGTTGTATCACTGTGAAAGAAACACAGTCGTCAACTCTTCAGCAAATAAATAATGCAACTTCCCCTGAACTCCGTAGTACTTCATAAAGGTACAAACTCCCTGTGTTGTAATCAAGGTATTGCATAACACGTGTCTGCATGGTAGGCCCTACAGGCTTCCAGCTGCTTCTGCGTGTCCCACTCTTCCATGATAATGGTGGATAAGAGCATTGGTCCAGATTTATACAGGGCTTGTAGTGCCTAGATTTATCAGAATTGGCAAAAATTGATTAATATAGTTTTCATGTATAGAGCTAAATAAATGAAGTAAATGGCATGGAAACATTTACTAAAAACATATGACTGGCTAACCACATACGTTTCTTTCCAAACAGGGAGAACATCTTGTTCATTCACATTAAAAATTAGGCTGTAGAAAAGTATTCACAGATTTGACCAGCCAATCCTCTAAGACTTGCTGTAAAAAAAAGTCATGTAATGCCATGATTTAACTACAGCAGGGGTCTTCAACTAAAATTGCTTGAATGAACCATCCTCACCAGCCGAATTGATGGTTTTTGCCAGACCAGGGTATCTGCAGGATATTTGAACTCAAACTTAAGACTTTAAGACCTTTTTTAAGACCTGCGCAAATAAAATTAAAATGACTGTAAAAGCATGATTTACAGTTCAGATACAGGTTTTTCACAAAAAAGAAAACGTTTTATAAAAAGATAAACTTCACATTTCAGTCTTTAAAACATTTTTTTAAGAAAATGGAGTCAAAAGTATCAATTATTAATTTAAACAATTATCATCAATCGTTATATTAATTAAATAACATATAAATATATTTTACTGTCTTAATTGTTTAGATTATTATGATGCATTATGTTCTTGTCGATCCATCAGTTCACATTTACAACTCTGCGTGTTTGTAGCGTAAAAACATGGGTTGATTTTCATAATGGTTTCCCCGGTAACAGCTGTACACAAAGCAGCGCAGCACGTGACTTTGAAACATGCAGCGCTTGTGTTTAATGAGATCATCGCCTTTTGAAGTTTATTCGTCTCATTAAGCCGTATCGCAATTCTTGTCTTTCCGTCCCCAAATTTAAGACCTCCTGAAAACATAATTAAGACTTTCTTGTACCATTTAAGAGTTTTTATGCCATAAAATGTATAGCCTTAAATCTCATACAACTAAATGTAAGACTTTTTAAGGACCCGTCAACTTTCCTAATCTTTGAGAATGCCATTGTTTTTCACTCACTGAAAGTTTCATTTGCTTTCTGCTCTCTTCACTGCACGCACGACCGCATGTCTGAATGTAGCAACAGTTAACTGTAGTAGCAACCCATGTCACCGTAGGACCCAAACAGCTCCACTGAGCTGACATTGATGTGCTTGATATAAATTTGATTTTATTACAAAACAGCGTTTGGCATTTATTTCATAACGTCAAAAGGCTTTGCGATCTGGATTCATGTTCACCGGGGTCACTGGTTATTTGAAGCACACAAATAGTTGCAGCTTTTTGGATGGGTTCAGAAAAGTACACTGTATTTTCAGGTTTTTGGTTTAAAACAACTTGACAAGATGATTAGATCAATGCATCTGATAAAGCGGACCAGTGTATTATTACGTATTCTATAAAAATATGACACTTTTAATGACAACAGTTATTTCATACCACTACCACTATTCTCCCCCAAGGCTTGTCTGCATATTCTTTTGAAGTCTCAACTTTGGACTCTCCTCCACATGTGCCATTTCTGCACTACACTTATACATTACATCATTTTTCCCATTTTAACCCGAGGAAGGCCACAGTGGGCTGCCTATGAACATTCCCAGAAGACTTGAATGTGGCCGGCATTATGGTAAACCTCCCTGTGATTTAACTGCCTTAATGTGGAGCCCTTGCAGGCTATCAGTAGACGGAAAAGCTGACTCTGGCATTCTCTCCAGGTTTCTTAGCTGGAGACTACCAAATAGAACCTGATCTAAGATGTCTAGAATTCCCTCTAGCCCCTGCTTGACTCATATATTCCCTATTCTTTTAGAAAAGGCAATAATAATGAAATTCAGACACAATAGGTATCTTTCTGAAAACTACATGTGTAAGTATATTCAGATATTTTCTTGCTGCAAATTATAGTGGTGATAAATGCTCAGATGGGCATTCATTAAGGTTGTCTCAACTTTGGACTCTCCTCCACATATGCCATTTCTGCACTACACTTATACATTACATCATTTTTCCCATTTTAACCAGAGGAAGGCCACAGTGGGCTGCCTATGAACATTCCCAGAAGACTTGAATGTGGCCGGCATTATGGTAAACCTCCCTGTGATTTAACTGCCTTAATGTGGAGCCCTTGCAGGCTATCAGTAGACGGAAAAGCTGACTCTGGCATTCTCTCCAGGTTTCTTAGCTGGAGACTACCAAATAGAACCTGATCTAAGATGTCTAGAATTCCCTCTAGCCCCTGCTTGACTCATATATTCCCTATTCTTTTAGAAAAGGCAATAATAATGAAATTCAGACACAATAGGTATCTTTCTGAAAACTACATGTGTAAGTATATTCAGATATTTTCTTGCTGCAAATTATAGTGGTGATAAATGCTCAGATGGGCATTCATTAAGGTTTCCATTTGGTATTACACTGAGAATTACAATCAAAGCTTCTGAAATCTTATTTGTCACATCTTCTATAGTCTATATTTCATCATAAGTCTGGAATTACAGTTCTCTTTGTTTACAAGAGCGCTTATCATGAAGTATTTCTCTGCATTAGGGCTGCACGATAAATCGCATGCGATATTTAACGCGCATCTTGTCGGTAAAGCCGGTTCTGTAATCAGCGGTAAATCTCCATCACGTGCGGGCTTTCACATTGAGCAGCATTAACTACACAGAGCCGTTGTTCACTGACGAGCTGCGCAAAAAATCGCGCGAATATGAAAGTGGTTTTGCGCAGCTCGTCAGTGAACAACGGCTCTGTGTAGTAAATGCCGCTCAGTGTGAAAGCACGCACGTGATGGAGATTTACCGCTGATTACAGAACCGGCTTTCTGACAAGATGCGCGTTAAATATCGCATGCGATTTATCGTGCAGCCCTACTCTGCATGCTTAATGCATTCTTTCAAGATGACACTGTTGGCTCTGAGCAGCCTGTGGACAGGATGACAGGATGGGGACAAATCCTGTTATTACTCTAACTGGACTCAGAAATGAATTTAGACAAAGCCAAGTAACATAAATCTGGGTAGAGTAAAAAAATGTGCCAAGAAGGCGTTTAAACATTCCACTGTCATATGCCTAGCAACCAAGCCACTTAGCTCTGGGTGCGAAAATAAATGGAAAAGAATGCATCGAACCATTGGCAATGTGATCTAAGGAAAAAAAGCAACAATAGTTTCAGGGGCATCCTGCACCAAGTTTCCCCTACCTGAAAATGATTTCATGAGGGGCCCGCAGCAAAAACCTGCACCTCGGCCCCAGATGGAGAACTTGACTGCCAGTAAGAACAAATTATGTACTTCTGAATTATGAACCGAATCAAGAACACACATTATTAACACATTTGTTGTCGCTGTTCCAGAATATTAAGAATTTTAGGCCTATAAGTCCTGCATTGATTCAGTCCTCCATGTATTACAGAAACAAATTAGTGTAAACCATCTGGACTGATCACCGCAAGGCTAAACTGCACCTTTTTACTGCGTTCGACAGTGCATTTTGTGAATCAGAGGCTGCGTTGCACCTGCACAGATTTCCTAGCATGTGCAGCAAGGCATCTTTACAAAATGCACTTAAATGGATATGTAACACATCTCTCATTAAATTCTAAAACTGTTCGGTTGTATTGTGACAAATTAATATTTTGTAACATTTTGGACAGATTTCCCCTAAAAAAAACAAATTGGTTTTGCACAAATCACTAAATGACATATTTTGGCTTCAAAATGGGCGAAATTCACTAAAAGGTTTTGGGGCACTATTCATTTTGTACCTACAATAATAAGGAACATGACTGTAAAAATATTTATTTGTGTCCTTTGGAAGTTGCATTCAAAATCCATTTGGCTCAAAAATTTGAATGGGCATGATGCCACTGAATAGTTTTAGACAATAACAGAAGAAACACATCTGTATTAAATTCACTTACATTGATGTTGTTGGTAAGGGTGTTCACAAACTTGAATCCTGGGATTCTCTTGTCACTGCAAACCACCCCGACATCTTCAGTATGCTTACAATCAGACACTCCTATGCCATTAGACTCACACTGGGCCAAGCTCCTCTCATTCCCCGTGCAGTGGACATTGTCAAACCAGATACGACCTAAAAACACAGGAAGTCAGTGCATATATATTCTAAAAGTCATCAATACTCCATAAAAGAATATCACTGAAATATTGCCAATATTCACTGTTTTGCTAATTCTTTCATAATTATTATGCATGCAGTTTTAAAATTAATTTGTCACAGCAATGGTTCATTTAAAACTGTCAAAGTCAAAAGGGTGGTTAAAACAATAAAAAAAAACATGGTGACCAATTCAAGAACCACACATTCATACATTCATATACATTTAACCTAAAATCTTGATGTTGATTTAAAAAATAAATAAATAAATAAATTTAATGGACATGTACTAACCTATACTATCAAAGGAATAGTTCACCTAAAAAAAATCTAATTTGCTAGAATTGACTCACTTTCAGGCCATCCAAAATGTAGATGAGTTTGTTTCTTCACTGGAACAGATTTGGATAAATTTTGCATTCCATCACTTGCTCACCGGTGGATCCTCTGCAGTGAATGGGTGCCATCAAAATAAGACTGCAAACAGCCGATAGAAACATCACAATAATCCACAAGTAATCCACATGGCTCTAGATTACTGTGATATTTTTATCAGCTATTTGGACTCTCATTCTGACAGCACCCATTCACGTCATTGGAGAGCAAGACATGTAAAGCAATTTTTTTCCAATCTTACATGGCTTGAGGGTGAGTACATTTTCATACATTTTTCATTTTTGGGTGAACTTTTTCTTTAACTGCAATGTGATTTTAATTGAGAAAAATGCATCAGTGTCACAATATATTCTGAACACTAGCTTACCTTCTCCCTTCCCATATTTAGATGAGGGAAACCAGGAGACTGCTTCAAAATAACCCAGTTCTCTGCATACAACTTGGGCTGCATGAATGGTGAAATCATCATCACACACAGTCCCCCACTCCCCTTCATAGAAGACCTCAACGCGCCCTTCGTTGTGCTTGCGTTTCTCTCCTGCCAGACGTAGCTGTATCCTGGGCGTATCTTTAGGAAGCTCTGGAACAGTATAAAGGTCCTGTGCAGGGTCTTGGTAGCCCGGAAGGTAACCCAAATGCTCATACTGTGCATAACTAAATCTCCATAAGCACAACAGTACAAATGACACAGACCAGAAGGCTAGCATAATGATAGAGGCTCAGAAGGTTTTTATGGCCTACAAAAAAAAAAAAAAAAAAACGAGAAAAGAAAAGATGCATTGTGATTTCAAATAGATTTTTTCAAATAGAATGCAAGTACTTAAACTATCTGTAAGATGCAGAAGCAGATCTGAAATTATATTATAAATAAATGAACATGAAGGAAAAAGTGAAGCAATGGAAGTAGTTTTTATTGTTATTACTATTTAAAAAAACAGCACAGAAAGAAATTATTGATGCTAATAGACATAATTCATCAATTTTAATCCATTTCCAGCTGGCCATTTATGTGTACTTTTTTAATCAAAAGCACTTTTATCAAAGTCTTGAGCTCAAGGAGAATAGCATGTGAATTCTCATCCATCACCAAATCACATCAAAGAGTGCAATAATGAGGACACAGAGACTTGTTTAGACCACGCTGTACTATTCATCTACAATGTCCATGCCCTAACCAGAAAAATATAAAATTCACTTTGAATATCAAGGAAAAGAATCATGTTCACTGAACATGTCAGAAAATACAGTTTAATTGAAAATAAAGTTTGACAGATGACACTTTAATTGGGATGAGGTAACTGGTTTCCTGACTGGGGGGAAAACACTTCATACACAGTGGAGTACAAAATTCAAATTGAAAATCTGAAAACCTAAATTGAAAACCTAATTTAAACATGGTAATACACAGAATGTTTTAGGATGTAAATTGAATAATAACGATTTGGGATTCTGAACTAGTTTTACATCTTAATTATTCAACTAAGCAAATTTGTGACATTGTGAAGTATTTTGTACAAAAGGTCATTTTCAAATATATAACAATAATATATAAATATATAACAAATATATATGGCTGATCGGGTTATGCAATGTGCAATGCCTTTTTTCCCCAATTCAGTTTTCTCTATTTTTAATGCTGATAATATAATTTGACAATAAAAATTATTAATTAAAAAAAGTATTAAATTAAAAAACGCTAAATACATGCTAGGGTTCTCAACCGTGTGAACCCCACTGTGCAGAAAAGTGATTAACAGAGTGAGTCTTCAAGACGTTTTGGTTCTCCTCCAGTACCCACTGGCATGCAAGCTTTGGTCTTAAAAGCAAAAAAAAAAAAAAAAAAAACCTAACATGCTTCCAA